AGAGGGGAGGTGGGGCTTGTTTAGAGGCTTCCTAGGATGGATGCATGTCTGAGGCCTTCTGTACTGTGACTAAAATAAAGTAGATATACCCTTGCTTTGATGGTGCGGACTCCAGATATTACATTTAGTTAGAACAAAGGCTGCATTCAATTAACATAAATAAACCTCAGTTGTTCATTATGAGAATTAGACACGCTTTCTTTCTTCTCTCCATGCATTCCTGGAACACTGAAGACTTCCTGGTTCTAAAGTAAGCGCCACTGGTTGTGATGTTTGGGCTAAATGACAATCTGTGGTTTGTTCTCCTATTTGTAAACCAAGATGGGAATGGAACCTAGGGCTACCAGTCTTCAGGCAGGGCCTGGAGTTCTCCCATGTGCTACAACTGCTTCCCAGAGCAGTTTCCCTGGAGGAAATTGCAGCTTCAGAGAACAGACTCTACAGCAGCACTTGCCCACTGAGCTCTCTCTGCTCCCCAAACTCCACCCTCCCCTGGCACTGACCTCAATTTCCAGGAATTTCCCAAACTGGAGTTGGCAACCTTATCACAACCTTCTGGTTGGGTTATAGTGCAAAAAGCTAGCAAGTACATGAGGGGGGGGGGAAAGGGGCCACGGTGGCTCAGAGGTTAAGACACTGAGCTGCAGACCGGAAAGTCTGTAGTTCGGGAGTTCAAGACCCTAATGCCGAGTGACAGAGTGAGCTCCTGTCTCTTGTCCCAGCTCCTGCCAACCTAGCAGTTCGAAAGCAAGAAATTGCAAGTAGGTACCACTTCGGTGGGAAGGTAACAGCATTCCGTGCACCTTGGTGTTTAGTCATGCCGGCCACATGACCATGGAAACGTCTTCAAACAGCGCTGGCTCTTCAGCTTGGAAATGTAGATGAGCACCACCCCCTAGAGTTGGATTCGACTAGCTTTCAAGCAGGGGAAACCTTTACCTTTACTTACATGAAAATACAGGCAACTTGACAATGGCTTATCTCTATTAGAAAGAAAAAAACATATCCTATGGAAGTGGGGAAGCATATATACTTATTTCTTAAAATCCTACATAGAAAGAAGCTGATTTTTCAGTATGCTATATAACTCATAATGACTTTTCTCTGGCTAAACAGTGTGACTTACCAGAAGCCCCACCCACCCCATTTTTTGCCAGTTCTAGACACAAAACACTTAGCAACCCAACAGATGGTTCATTATCCAAATGCTGTTAGTCTTTGAGTAGTGTTGGAATAGGCAGGGCCCTGTGGGAGTGCCAATCCCAAACAGAGAATGATAACAAAGGATAACTAGGCTGGAACACACTCCCTCCTTTGTATCATTTGGCTCTAAAGGAGGGAGGAGAGGAAAAAAACCACCCTCTATTTAGCTTCTGTTTTTGTAAGCCAAAATCTACTTTCATATACAGGTGCTTTATTCTTGTGAAACAAAAAGGAAGATGAGTCAAAATACTTTTTGTGTTATTCTTTTTTTTAATGCTTTTATTAGATGAAGACAAACAGACAGATATAAAAGCACAATCTCCCATCCCATCATCCTTTAAACAACAATAAATACACAAACAAAACAGTGAATACTCAGACCAAGTGAATGATTTAGGAGCACCTGATGCTGCAATATTGTTGAAGCTTCAGAGACTGCATCAATAATCTAGATAGGATACCGCAGGGACTCATATAAGAGCAGGACACAATTATAACAAATGGTTTAAATGTATGTAAAGCATGTGTTAACGTTTCATTGTTAATGCTACATGCCATGTCATAATTTACACTTGAGTATGTAGCAGCTGTGCAACTCCAGCCTTTATTAGATTATCTGGGTCCATTTCAATCAAGATTCTAACCTGGACTGCATCCAAACAAGCACTATCAATATTGCAGTATCATTTTGCTAACAGAAGTCTTTTGTAACTAAATATATGAACAGCCCTGCTGGATCAGACCTAGGGTTGCCAGACCCCCTGATTTGGCGGGGATCACCCGCTTTTTTGGGGGGGGGTTCAACCTGCCACCAGGCAGCTGGCTGGCAGGGGAAGCCACGCTCCCAAGCCCAAACACCTGCAACCACCCCTCTCCCTTCTCTCCCGGGAGAGAGGAGAGAGAGGGGCGGCCTGTGCGCCTGATCTCCACTCAGAGATGGGGCAGGTGGGGGCCTCGCCTCTTGCTGCATGCACTTAAAAAGAACTCCTTTAAGTGCAGGCAGCCTGTGGGAAAGGGCCCCGCATGCCCGATCTCTGAGTGGCTCCCTTTACGTGCAGGCAGCCAGCAGGAAAGGGTCCCATGTGCCTGATCTCTGAGCAGAGATCAGGTGCACGAGGCCCTCCAGCTGCCTGCACTTAAAGGTAGCCCCTTTAAGTGCAGGCAGCCGGCCGGAAAGGGCCCCGTGCACCCGATATCCAAGCAGAGATCAGGCGCACGAGGCCCTCCAGCTGCCTGCACTTAAAGGGAGCCCCTTTAACTGCAGGCAGCCAGTGGGAAACGGCCCCATGCACCTGATCTCCCAGCAGCATTGCTGCTCAGAGATCGGGCGGGCGGGGCCCTCAGGCTGCGGCTTGCCGCCAGCAGGACTGTCCCCATGAGGGCGGGCCTTGGAGCTAGGATGTCCCCAATGTGACATCATCATGTTTTGGATACCCCGGCCCTCCGGGAACGCCCCCCAAAGTCCCCCGCTGGGGACGAAGATGGACCTGGCAACCCTAATCAGACTAGTGTTTCTTCTGGTCCAGAAACCTGTTTCACATAGTGAATAACCAGTTGCCCAGAAAAGCCAACAAACATGACAAAGAGACCAAAGGCCTTCTGTGATATTGCCCCCAAGCACTGGTATTCAGAGATTTGCTGCCTATAGCTCTGGAGGTTCTTTTTAGCCACCATAGCTAACCCCCTTTTAAAGCCATCTATTTACATGGCCGTCCTGCATAAATATTTTCTATTATCCATCCTAAATCTACTGCCCATAAACTTCACTGGGTGTTCTAGTATTACAGGGGCACTTTCTCTACCCCAGCTGGCTTGTCTGGTCCACACAGGACAATCCAGATGCAAATGACTGATGCTAAATTCTGATGAAGTGTGGATGCAAATGGGGTTTTGGAAATGAAACTCCCCTTGGTTGTCCTGATCCTATTTACACCAGAGTCACCTGGTAAAGATTCTGTGTTTATCATAGAGTCCAATTTCTCTATTAAATCAGGACTTTAAAATATGGGTGACTGTAGTGGTTTGTAGATTATGTAAACTGAAAGATAAATGTACTTGTAGAAAGTAAGAATTTGTAAAGGAAAGGCAAGTATCACATGATCTACAAGGCTGAATATTAATAGATACATTGTGGAAGAATTTAATTTAGCCACAGGTACCAGGTCAAGGATGTTCACTCTCCCCACTACTTTTTATTTTATGTCTGGAACTGGTAGCTCTTCAAATCATTGTAGAATGTTTATTGACTCCCCCCCCCCTTATTGATAACTTGTTTAGAAGCTGCTTACCTATTTCATTACTGATATATTTTTATTGATATTTTATTTGGAAGCCCGATTGAAAGGCAGCTTATAATTTTTTTAATAAATCAATAAAGCATATGGAGATGGCACCTCCAGCAACCCTTGAAAAGTATAACTGTGATGTAAAAGCAGCAAACAGCAGAATCCTGAGGAGGCCAGCAGGAGGCTGGCTCAAGCAGATACCAAGTCATCAAAGGGCAATGTCCAATGGAAGGAAATCAATTCTCCAAGAAACAAAGGTTAGTGGATACAATACCCCTGGCTCCTATCACTGAGGCCAGACTTGCTGTTCCAGTACCCCATAATACTCTACGGAGCTCCTCTCTAGTTGCAGAGTATACTTATTACCTAAGACAAATTATGGACATACATATGTGCACCAGGCCTTAGCAAAACCTATAGAAGATTGACCTGTCTCAAAAGAAATTACGTAGCCCAGTTTTCCAGATATGAAGGATCTTCTTAAAGTGAAAGGGCACTTTAGCTGTACTTCCTTTCTGAGCGACCCTCAGTGTAGTATCCATGGCACCTACCCAGAAGCAAAGAGCCAATCCTGGCTTACTTTCAACTCATTTGAGCAGGATGCTGCTTCCATTATAGGAAGATGCTTGCATTGCGACCTCCCAGTATTTTGTAACTGGCTCCATCCATGGTAGCCATTTTGTGGTGCTTCCCATTCCCTCTTCTAAAAATTCCCAAAATGGTCATGGGCTTAACATGATTGGAGATTCTTAATCTACAGTATTCCAGGGAGGCATAGTTTTGAATTAATGAGCAAATCACCTCAATTTTAAAACATCATTCCAACCTCCAATCCCAAAATTTTTCCTTTATCATCATTTATCATTCCAGAATTTGAATGATGTTTGTGCATTCCCCCCTTCTTTCTTTAAAATTAAAATTATGTTGAGAGAACAACAGCTTTCTACATTTTATTTTAAATTTCTCCTATGGAAAGGATTTTTTGTGCCACTAGTTTTCAGCACTAAATAAATAAATCTTGCTGCGACAGTCAGATTAGAGACTCTGAAATGTAATTTGCTGCCTGGTGTAGTTGATGTTCTAGGCCTTCAGTGCTGTGCACATATACATTACAAGAAGGCCCACTGCATAAAACGGAATTTACCATGCACAAATTTGCACTGCAACTTACATGTGGGTTCAATTTTATAAAGATTTTGCAAAATCAGGAATGCACACACATTTTAGATGTTTTGTGACCAAAAACGGACCCCCTCCCCAGCCAGCATTCCCACTTAAATAATCATAAAACAAGCCATCACAGGTACTGCAATACCAATCCAGTGCTAAGCACTAAGTTTCTATAGTGGCACAGAACTCCTGGTTTGTCCTAAGTTACTTTATGCCTTTGGCTTCAATGGACATAGAATGGTGTAACTCTCTTTAGGATAGCACTGTGACTTAGGAGAAGAATCCTGAAATGAACCTGATGTACCACAGAATCCAATGGTAAATAATACAGCATTGACTTACCTGATAAGAAAATGATGCAGTCCAACATCAAAACTCCTGCAAAAAACAGACAGAAATAAAAAGAAAATATATCTTAAGATGTATGCATACGGGACTAGAAAACATAATCAAATGCTTTTAAGATTATTAGCCAGCAAAAAATAAATATTTTCATGAATAGCATAGGGAAGCCATGAAAGCACTTCCAGAGAAAGATGCTCCCCCAATCGGTATAAGCACGCAATATTTTGTCTGCTTTAGGATACCCTTGCTCAAAACAAATACAAAGTACAACAAAAAAAATCATAATTTGTGGGGGGTGGATTTCTGGAACAGGTTCCATATCACTATTATGGAGTATTCAGGTACCCCAATACTTTTTTGGGATTCTGATACTTTTTAAAAATTCTGAATTTCTTTGGGTCCCTTTTTCTCTATGGTGGGTACTCTTTCCAGGATCTGGAGTGACTGTTTTGCAATCAAATTACACCAAAACTGCAGGAACCCTAGTCCTGCTTGTCCACTAAAGACCACCCAAGTTTCAAGTAAACTGGATCAAGGGGTCCAATTTTATGAGCCCCTAGCCAACCTACCTATTTCCATTGTATCCAGGGGTTGGGGTGGGGTGGAATTCAATGCTTTCTCCAGGGCAGATAAGCCAGTAGCAAAACACGCAAGAGTAACCACTGGTCAAAAGCCTTCACATGCAAACAGAACCAACAAGCTCAAGAGAACCAATGTCAAACCAGAGAATCCCAGCAGAACTCTCGGGCCATGGGGGCAAGCCCACAACTGCCAGTATCAAATCAGATAATCCAAGCCAAACCAGCTTGAGTAAGGGACACTGTTACAAGCCCACCAGAACTAATGTCAAACCACAGAACCCAGGGACAATGTAGCTAGACCAACAGGAGCAATGCCACATCACAGAAGCAGAGCCATACAAACCAGGCAAGCTAGTACAAAGGCAGTCAGCCAGATCTGGGGAGACACTGACACACTGTTAAAATACAGTTAAAAACATACAATTCAATCAAAAACACATAAACAACACTAGAAGGAGGGCCAATAACCATTATTAGGGATATGCCAGATGAAGCAAAAAAGTCTTCATCTGCAGGTAAAAGACACCAATAGAGGGAGATAGATGAATCTCCGGGGGGGGGGGGAGTTCCAAAGAAGGCCCTTTCATGGGTCACCACCCATCTAGCTTCAGATGGCAGGGGCAACCACAGCAGAGCCTCCAAGGATGACTGGAGTGAGTAGTTAAGTTCATATGGGAGAAGGCGGTCCTTAAGATATGTTGGTCCCAGGCTATACAGGGCTTTAAAGGTCAATACCAGCATCTTGAATTCAGCCCAGAAGCCATTTGGAAACCAGTGTAGATGGAGAACAAGACTGGAGTGATATGGTCCCTATGACTCACTCCAGTCAACACTCTGGCTATGGCATTCTGTACCAATTGTAGCTTCCGGGCAGTCTTCAAGGGCAGCCCTATGTAGAACCCATTGCATTAACCTTATCTAGATGTTACTAGGGCATACACCACAGTGGCATGGTCTTTTCCATCCAGGGAGGGCCACAGCTGACTCGCCAGCCAAAACTGCGGAAAGACATTAAAACCTATCTCAGAAGGCAGGGCTCCTGAAGCAGGACCTCTGAAGATGACCACAGGGATTGGGCAGGTTCATAAGGGAGTGGGCCAGGACCAGAAAGGCAGCCTTATTCCCCTGAAGCATTCAGGTCAAGGGAATGACAAGACCCAGGCTTACAGTGTCAGACAAGAACATGTTGGCAAGCTCCTTAAAAGGCTCAGCAACCCTCACCATCTGGGAGAGAGACAGACCCCCCCCCATCCCTGCCGATCCATCCACGAATTGCTTCTCAATGGCATCAGAGACACTGGCTGCTGTATGTGCCTAGTCCAGTATCAGAGCGTGGAGCAAAGCTTGGCAACACCTGGCCCAGCAGCCCCTCTCACCCTGCCAAGCGCTGGTTGCTCCATCTTTACTCAGAACATCTTTGGGTTGCCACCAGTACACAACCAATGAGAGCTACATGTGTGATAAGCGAAGGCAGGTCCCAATGTCAAATGTGAAAGCAGCCCCACCAGGCTTCCTGTGCCCTTGAAGAAGCATCATTTGGTGGTGATCCTTCAAATGGTTCCTGAGCCTGGTTGTGGAGAGTTAACCCAGATCTTTCCCTTGACTGATCCTAGCCCTATGCAGTTGGCACTATGCAAAGCAGGGATCCTCCATCCTCTGGAAGTGCTTCCAGGCCATGGAGGAATAGGGGCATTCATCCTGACTAGCACCTGCAGACATCCAGGAGCTGCCTAGGACATACACACCCAGAATACCAGAAAATACTTCTAAAAGAGAGCCAGTTTGGTGTAGTGGTTAGATGCATGGGCTCTAATCTGGGAGAACTGGGTTTGATTCCCCACTCCTCCACTTGCAGCTGCTGGATGACCTTGGGCAAGCCATAGTTCTGTCAGAGGTGTTCTTGAAAAGAGCAGTTTCTGTCAGAGTTCTCTCAGCCCCGCCTATCTCACAGGGTGTCTGTTGTGGGGAGGGGAAAGGAAAGGAGACTGTAAGCCGCTCTGAAACTCTGAGTGAAGGGCGGGGTATAAATCCAATCTCCTCCTCCTCTTCTCCTTAAAACAGTAACTTCGAAAATCCCTTCCTCGCAAACCAGAAACTCTTTTAAAATTAAAATGCAAAGCAGTTAAATATTCTAAAACAAGCCAACAAAGCAGAACAAGTCTTTTAAACCCTTTTAAAACAGCACAAAACAAACCCAAGGAGATCTATTCTTAAGTAGAGCCAGGAAGAAAACAAAGGCTCTCTTCACCGAGCCAACTACACCCCCTCAGACTAAACCACAGGAAAACGTGAAATAATAATATTTATTTATTTATTTATTCGATTTCTAGGCCACCCTATTTAAAACAAAGTCCACTATGGGCAAACCAGTCCAGAAGATGTCCAGAAGGTCTTCCCAGGCAAGCAGCAGAATTAATCCTAGACAAACCACAGCAGCAACAGCAGCAGCACCACCACCACCCAAAAAAGCCCAGCCCTGAAACAGGGTCAAGGTGCGGCCTGGTTTTTATCCTGTTTGCCCATTTTCAGAGAGCCATGGAGAGCTATGAGAAAAATCATCACAACCAGACAGAAAGTTCTAGTGCACCCCTAATGTGTGATCCCATTGCTTGGGAGACCTGTCTCCCTTTTCCCTCCCATTGCCCCCTCAAAAATTCTTAAAGGCCAGAAAACAGGCTTGAGAGCCTTAAAATGCCAGCCCCAGATGTTCCTGAATATTTGTGAATATTTCTAGAAATATTTGGGACCCAATTACTGGTATTCCAAGATTCCAGAATATTGCTCCAGATATGTGGATATATCTGAAAAATACTGGTAATGTATATACTCAGAGCAGAAATAGCCAAACGCACATCCCTAATCCAAAGGGCCACGCAAACTTTGGCTGATACACCATATGGCTACAGCCATTTCTCCAAAAGCCTGATTTGGCCACGGTAATCCATGCACTGGTCACCCCCAGATTAGATTACTGCAATGCATGTTACATGGTCCAACATGCAGTGGCTAGGCTTTTGCGAGAGGCTGGATACTGTGCTTCTCTTGTGCTGAAAGTTCTACACTGGCTGCCCATCTTTTTCCTGGCACATTTTAAAATGCCGGCTTTTACTTTTAAGGCCCTAAATGGATGGGGTTTGGGGCGCTGGCTCTTTGGCTTGGAAACAGAGATGAGCACTGCCCCCTAGAGTCAGATTAGACTGGCTTTTGAGCAAGAGAAACCTTTACCTTCACCTAGCTTGAGGATCATTTTCTGAATCTCATTATAGGCTGCTGAATGTTATTGTATTCTGTTTTATGCCCTGGTTTATTGTTTAATAGCTTGTTTTAAATCAGTACTTCTTATGTTGCTGTTTTTATTTTTTATTTTTTACTGGATTGTTCTTCATCTGTGAACTGCCTCCAGCATGTCTCTGGCTAAGTGGCATACAAATTTCTGAACAATAATTAAATACATCAGTGCAAACTCAGTGCACGTGCAGAAGAACTTGAGTGCACACGAACGTTCTGTGGATCTTAGTCCTAGAAGTCCTAAAGGACCTTCAGAATACATGTTAGAAGTTATTTCAAAGACCTGTCATTTCTGCTTTGAAAGCCAAAGCATCTGCCTCCACATTGGTATTCAATACACAACCAAATACAAATCTTCATACACAGAAAGCCCAGGGAAGTCTGGAATGCACTCATGCAAAAGGCGAAAGCTCAACTGGTAGCAATAACACACTTGATGAAAAAGCCACACTGCCAAATAGCAAATAAAAAAGATACAATGCTTTTTCCCCTCCCTGAGACAGCAATAATGTACACATCTGAAAGCCAGACATGTGCAAAACTGTGATTAGTTTCCATTTACAATATGGACTGTGGAACTGATGAGTCAGCCCTTGCCGTGTTGCAGATGCCCTGAAGTTATTTTCCAATGGTTCTATTCCATTGGCAGAACTCCTTTATCAACATATGGGAACCCTGGTTCAATAGTGTTATCTGGATACCATGCAACTCATTAAATAAAAGGTATGACTATATTAGGTTTATTATAGGCTAGGTTTTTACCTGTATTTTTTAACTAGCTCAGCTACACCATAACAAACTGCTTCACACCAGCTGAGGCTCACTCTCTCTCTAAAAATTTGTTCTCTAGAGAAATTTGGGTCATAGAATGAAAGAGTACGCTGCTGCGGCAGCATTGTAATTGCACAAGGAAGAAAAAAAGAGAATCTTTTCTAAGTACCGAAGAAACATGTGACCAATTAGCACTGCAGGGGTTCCCTATTAGTATGGTAAATTAATCACGTGGTTTAGATCTTGAGAAAAAGAGCTCTTTACACTTACACGCTCTCTGGCTCACTTCAGACACCACGACAAATCATACATATGGAAATGTAGAAACCATGGTTCTGAAACAGATTTGCAAAGCATGGTTAGTACCAACTATGATTTGGCATGATAACTGAA